ACACTCAGAATGATCTAAAATAGATATACCACACACACACACACACACACACACACACACACACACACACACACGCACACCAAGATTTAATTAGATATTTTTTAACTACAGTTAGCAGCATACGGGACATGTCTTCACCCAAATATGAAGGCAAGGATGAAGATGAGTTATCATCATTACTTACAGGTTGCATAACCTGCAATGATGCTGACTGGATTAGCTGTTGGTTTATATATGTAGAATCCTTCAGGACAGATGGTCATGCTCATGGTAATAGTATGAGAATTACAATATGCTGAATATGATTCATACGCGACCCCGTCTGTTGGAGTTGGAGTTACAGTTGTTGGATATGCAAATTTGATAAAAATGGCGTAGGTGAAACCAGCGCGAGGGCCTGGAGTGCAGATTTTTATGACTTGGTCTCCACCGATTCCAGTGAAGCGCCACCATTTCCCAGTAAGAGCTGTATCATTCTTTGGGTACCCGGGAAAGGTAGCTGATTCAAATAAGTGGTTGCGCCATGCTTCAGTTATGTTTGTGTATCCATCACAAGAACCTGTGTGAAACAGCAAAATGTATATCAATAGTATATTGAATGTGCATTATTTCATCTATAACAAAGTCTTTATATCTGATGTTTAAAATTGAACATCATTCTTACCAGCTGGAAAAGTACAATTGCTGAGGGTGAAAAGGGAACCTTTAAAGCAAAAAGACATAAAGTATTGTTTTTTTTACAAGTGTTTTTATTTCATTATAGTGTACAATAATCAATGTCATTTCATTTACATTGTAATACCACAGTACACTCACTACACTCCCCTCTCCCTCCCTCCACCCGCACATGCCCACACAGGCAAAACCAAAACATGCTTATCAAGATAACTTCAACAACAGAGCCATGAAAATAAACATAATAAGGAAAAAACAAAACAAAAACATCAAAGTAAAACAAACAAATAATTATACAATACAGCGACAATGTAAACAATGACAACACCACCACTAGTATTTCCGGCCGTCAGGACAAATAGCCACAGAATGCACCATTCCATCACTGGTCATATCTCAGATATATTTTCCAAATAAGAAAACAATGGCAACCACAGAGCTTGAAAAATATGTCCACGATTATATTTTATTATTATATGTGTTATCAATGAAAAGTTTAAATGTTGGAGGACGTTCATTCTTCCAGAGTAAGAGTATATTTCTTGGCAAAATATGTTATTGTGATTAGTATTCTGTAATGTTTGGGATTCAGTTTAAAGTTTGGCAGGAAAAAACATGGATTTAGGCTCATTTCGATGTCTAAAACGGCTTTTGTGAGAACATGAATCGTATCCCAGAAATGTTTCAAGAGATCACAGTCCCAAAACAGGTGCATAAATGTTCCTTCTTTTATTTTACATCTCGGACATTTTGGAGAGTTTTCTTTGGAAATGTTATGCATCTTTATGGGTGTGAGGTAAAAAATTAAAGTTTGCTTCTTTGATTTTATTGCTTGTGAATGGAAAGTGTATTCTTTCACAAATATTGTTTCATCTATCTGCATCCCTAAGTCCTTTTCCCTGACCTTTTTTAAAGTTAGAAAGGATGACTGAGCTCTTTTAGAAAAAAGTGCATTAAATTCACTAATTTTACCTTTGATCGTGCTCGATGACATCAATATCTCCTCCTCTTCCAACAATCCCGATCTCAATTTATTGCTTTTAATAATTGATTGGATCACGTTCCTAATTTGCAGGTATCTGAAAAAATCCTTATTTGAAATGTCATATTCTGCTCTTAAATTATTCAATGATTGCTATGTTATGTCTTTGTGAGACAAATGTTTCAATTGCTTTATACCTGATTTCGTCCATTTGTTTATATTGATTGACAACAAATATTTGCTAAGATCAGGATTGTTCAAAATAGGAGAAAAGATTGAAATACCTGAGTTAACATGAGCTTTTTTTGTACAGTCCCTCCAGGCTAAAAGTGTATTGACCACTGTAAAACATTTGGCCATATTTTTCACCTTATTGAAATCTTTAACAAATATAAGAGTTTCCACTGGCAACGGGTCAAAGGTATTGGCTTCTATCTGAACCCATAGTGAATCCTTTCTTCCCAGAAACCAAGATAGTACATTTCTTAATTGAGCTGACCAGAAGTAGTGTTGAAGTTGGGAAGACCAAGACCCCCCATAGTTTCTGGCATGTAATGAGTTTAAGATGTAGTGGCATACGTCATATACGTTTGTTCACTTTTACGAGATAAAACATACCTGTATAGGGATCTACCTCCAATGGTGGACAGGCTGGAAAACACACTCAGATCTGTCATGTTCTCAGGCCAAGACTGGATGTTGAGGTATCCTAAAGAAAAACATGCGGTAGTTAGCAGTGGAGCAGTCTAGACCGGAAAATTGAAGTCATGGTCAAGATCAGACAGACGAGAACAAGGGGTGCCAAAAACTAAGGGGCTGAAATCAAGTGTATCCTCGTACTCAGCACTGCTTTTCCATCTTCTGGTCTTGAAATAAAATCCTGTTTTTTTAAGATGGGTACAAGATGGAGTAATAATGCATTTGAGTACGAGGCTTTCAAAGAGTCGCAAGCTCAAGTGGTACAACCCTACTAATTAGTAGACTTAGTTCAAGTAATCAAAGCTTTTTTCTCAGTAATAATGGGGAAAATGAAATAAAGGAAAAAGGGTTCCAGGCTGTACATGTGGTATTGTAATGAGCTACTAAATAAAAAGAGTCTCCTTTGGCTTCTCCCTCTGAGAAATTCACACAAGATTCTTTGTACAAAAAAAAAAAGCTTTGAGAAGACAATATACCCTAATTAAAAGAATGGATTTAATATTGTGCACAATCAGTCCCGTTGCACTTGCCTTTGATGACAGGTTACATCCGATGAGAACGTGTGGAAATGACATTAAAGGGATAGAGCAGGAAATGGCTGGGATAGGATGGCCATTGCTCTTTCTTATTGCTCGGATTTTCATTATGAAAATGCAGTTTCACTCCATTAGCTGTTTGGCTCAAACGCAAGACGCAGTTTCATATGACAAAAGGGTTTGTGTACGAGGTATTACTCATCCCTTAAGGCCACTAATAGTTAATGAATAAATACACACTCGAGCATGCACACACACAGCGCGTTACTGAAAGCACGTATAACTATTACAATAACATCATATCCACTTTTAGAATTCAACGACACAAAAGAAACGTACCTGCCATTTTCCACTTTCTTTTACTGCCTCACAAACAACATCATAGTTTTAGTTTGCAAAGGTGACCCCAGACTCACCTGTGATCTCCTTCACAGTGCGGAATGCGTTGAGGTGTTCAGGGTCCATAGGTCCGATACCATGATACATGTCACTGGAAGAAAAAACACAAAGTGAATATCTTTATGCATTTGCTTTAGTATGACCTTATTTATGAAACAGTCCTGAAAGATGTTATTACTGGAGACAGAATTATTTGTTCTCTCTCATGTGCTGTGTGACATTACGCATTATTCTATCCTTAAGATAGAGCTTCGGGACACGTTGACAGTGGCGTGTGATTGAATGTCTGCTTGTTGACCTTCCAAAGTCAGGATTTCCCCGACACAATGGGTTATGAATGAAGAACTGTTTGTCTACAAGTCTACCTCTCTTCCGTGTGTGCTGCTGTAAGTCATTCAGATAGTATTCCATTTATTAAGTTGTGTGAAAGAATAAGAAATGAAATAAAGCGCAGCACTTGGTATGACGCCAATGTCTATAACGCATGAACATAATATTGTTTTATGATCCAATTATAGCACTGCATGTTGTTTTTAAGTGTTCATAATGCTTCATAACCCATTACAAAGCCTTTTATACTGAACTATAGACCACTCGGAGTAACTCGTAATAACTGTTTTAATTGTATGTATTTGAATGTACTTCCACTTTGGGAATAATCATACACCAATCTTGCAAAATGAGAGACATTATGAAATATTATGATTCTTGACCATTTTAGTCATTATGTGATGCTTTAATATGCATTTGAATTCATGTTAAAAAGCATTCTAATTATTTACGAGTGAATGTTAATATACCTGTACAGAGCTATAAGTATGTTAAATATTGAACAATAATTAAATATATAAAATAGTTAAAGACATGAGCATTACAGAAAGTGTTACCAAAAAAATTTGCTTGACATGAAAAACTTTTAAAAAATACAAATCTCCTGGACTCACCCTTTGATCCCTGTAATGAGGAAGATTAGGTTCCCGTTGATTTTGGTGCAGTTGACAAAGTTATCAATATTGCTGGCATCTACTGTTTGCGCCGCCTGCAGGCTGCCCGTCCCTATGCCGTCGCACACTGAACACAAACACACAAGCACACATTATTCAAATTATGAAGTTGCTTTAGGCATGAATTACCTTCTTTAGAGTACAACCCAAAGTGCCCTTGCACCGCAGAGACCTCATTTTGAGAAAGTGCTATTAGCTATTTGTCACGTTAATTCTTTACACTCTTTTATGAAAATACACCCTGCTTTGGTGCGCAGGCAAGGCCACGGCCCCTTCTCTATGCATTGGGATTCTTTTGATGAAAGCACAGCCAATCCACAGCCAATTCCTCTCTGTAATGAATTCATTACATCTGCATTAATTACACTTGCGGTCTGGTGTGAGCCAAGTATTTCTGACAGAGGCGGCGGGGATGATGAATAAGGCTTGTATTAAGTGGTGTAACAAGTTTTTGATAGTGATTTATACCAGCCAATTCCATATCTGAAATGTTAATTTGTTATCATTTCCCACAGTTCCTTGGGCTATCCCTCATTAACCCCTTCCCGCTGCGTGACGATGTAATCAAGAGATTAGCCAATCAATGGATGACTCAGCCCCGTGCGTGGAGCCCGGAGGAAAACAGGACTAAAAGAGAAAGGGCAGATCAGTTACCTTTGTGGGAACAATATGACGAAGAGGCTAATTCTCTGTATGGAACTGCTTTTTAATTTCAAATTGTTTAGCTATTTAGCTGACGAGATGAGTTGTAATTACTGAGCACGTAGCAGCAGTTTCTCAGTATGTTCCCACTTCATGTTAATTAACACAGCGACTGTTGTCGGGTCAGACATGTGACCTTGATGTATGCGATATGTAATACAGTGCTTATTCAAAGCAGCAATATGAGGTGTGCAAAACAAGTGGCCAGTCATTTCAATAATGCATGAATACATACATGGCATGCATAACAAACATTTGGTATACAGTTTAAAGTTTACTGCATGTATTATATGATAGAAGCTGTTGAAGACATGAGGATGTTAGAGCAGTTGGTATTGCAGCTATTTTTTATTTTAGGGGTGTATATTATTAGCATAAATAAATCAGCTTATTTAGTATAATGTAAAACAAAAAGCTGATGCCAATAAAACAAAGTATTTCATTTTGTATAAAGCTCTTGTGTAATTAGTGTGTGCTCCAGTAACATCACTTTTAGCATTAACAACATTAATTAATAATATAAGTAAAACAAACAGAAAGTATTTAATCATATTTTCACATTGAGTATAACTTATACATTACATGTCATTTGTTAGAAGCTTTTATCCAAAGCGACTTACATACATTCAGTACTGTGGACAATCCCCACAGGAGCAACTTGGGGTGAAATGTCTTGCCCAGGGACACAACGACATGCTGACTGCAGTGGGACTCGAACTTTCTACCCCCTTGATTCGAAGTACAGCACACTATCCACTGAGCCACAGCCGCCCGACATTACACATTATATACTGAAAAAGTGCCCAAAAAATGAGGATGTTGTCAGTGTGTCTGTGCACTAAGACAAATGTGACAATCTCACACACTTACTGGGAAACCAAGTGCATCATCATTCCTAGTGTCATCGTAATTGAAAGATTGAGGGCAGTTAAGACTCCTCAAAGTGTCCAACTTTATGATGGATGCACATACTACAGTGACGCTGACTTTCACAAGTTTCAACAAAATCCACCCGAAAATATCTTCTTAAAATAACTGTATTGAACTTCAAAGAATGATGATTATTTAAGCCATCCTTGTAGTGCTAATGGCAACAAGATGATTGAAACATGCATAATTAACTAATGTATACCAATAACATTTCTGATGTTATCATGTTGCCATGATACTGTATATAATTAAATGGCCGTTATCACTAGGGATGTAACGATACCAAAAACTCACGGTACGATAATATCGTGATAACAAGTCCACGGTACGGTATTTATCGCGATATTGAATAATAAAGGGAAGAAAAAAAAATTCACACTTTTTTTTTTTCAATAAAACATTTTTTTACTCGGAAAATGTTTTTTTATTACATAATAAATCTGATTTTTACAGCATTTTAGTAGGATAGCAGTATTTTAAAGTGTCAAAAACAAAGTGACAGTAACAGACTGGAACAAGAAAACCAGTGTTTTTGTACTGCAGCAGACTTGTCAAGTGCTATCTGCGTACGAGCACTTGACGAGTTGCCCCCCCCCCCCCCGCCAAATACGGCACACACGTCTGAGCGCCCTACACGCGCGTGTCAGGCATTTCGTTTTGGAGGGTCTGTACATACTAGACAATGCCGTTTCATCGCCAAACCGCTTTGTTGATAGTAAAGGAAAACCTCCCGTACCGTATTTGAGACGTATTGGGGGTCGGACCGACGCGCGCTTTGCAACCGCGACAAGGCCCAAACGAGATTTAAGGCATAGGCAGTTTTACTGTCTGACGAAAGTCAAAAAGGCAGTTAACAATTTTATTTTAATAAGCCAATTGCGCTTGGTGACCACAGGGTCGTTGTAGTCATGGACTTCCGCTCTCTCAAAAGAAGTGTCTCGTCCCCTATTAACGGTTTACGTTGTTTGTAGGGTTCGAATATTTATGGACCTTTACACCTGTAAGAAGTATAAGGATTTTTGGACAGACTACCACCGACTCACCTCACCTTGATCACTAAACTCAACTCAATTGAACTTTTTGATTTCACTTGAACTAAATAAAATAACGTCACCAGACCTAATAATGAACAAATAAACACTCTACTCACCTATTCTTTACGAATGAAACAAACCATNTAAAAGTAACTAACAAGTTACTTTACTTTAAAAATAATAACAATAAAAATACAAGTTTTTGTGTTGTTTTTTGCTGACTAGTTCTCTGAAGGCATGCAACAGACTCGACCGTTGCGATGGGCAGCATGTCCTCAACAACATACCTGGCAATCAATCTGTTTAGTTGACTCTGGATGACATGTGACATCGTTTTTTGGCTGTTTAGATCAGTGCTTCTCAAACTTTTTTCAGTAATGTACCCCCTTTGAAACATTTTCTCAGCCAAGACCCCCTGACCGACCCCGAACATTTTTGATCGAAAAAGCCTATATAAATAATTACAATATAGTAGGGATGTAACGATACCAAAAACTCACGGTACGATAATATCGCGATAACAAGTCCACGGTACGGTATTTATCGCGATATTGAATAATAAAGGGAAGGAAAAAAAAATTCATACATTTATTTTTCAATAAAACGTTTTTTACTCGGAAAATGTTTTTTTATTACATAATAAATCAGATTTTTACAGCATTTTAGTAGGATAGCAGTATTTTAAAGTGTCAAAAACAAAGTGACAGTAACAGACTGGAACAAGAAAACCTGTGTTTTTGTACCTACTGGTACTACCACACAAAGTAAGCATTTTCTTTATGCCACTGCATCTCACAAGTAAACAAGGACATTTAATAATCAGACCCTGTAAATACGATGTCCTTTTGTGTTATCTGTTGTTTTATTGTCATGTTGTAACCTACTTGCTGCCATGTTGGACAGGTCTCTCTTGAAAAAGAGATAGATGATCTCAATGGGACCACCTGGTTAAATAAAGATTTTTTTTTTAAAAAGTGTTTAAAAAAAATAATATATTTTTTTTAAATCGCGGTAGATTTTTTCAGTCTCACGACGGTATTGGGAAGTTTATTTACCGCGATACCGCTATTCGGTATATCGTTACATCCCTAGTTATCACTAATTATCACAATTATTCTAATGTGTCATACTGGCCAATCAGCAGCTTCTATTTTTGAAAAAGGGACATTTTAAATAACACCTAGAAGGAAATAAAATGTGACGTTTCGAAGAAAAAAAATGATAGGTTTCAGCATCAAAACTGCACATTCTTTAGAATTTGGCACCAAAACTACTTTGATAAGTTAAGGAAAAGTGTTTGGACCAGTCGATTTACCTGTACCTAAAGACAATTTCTCCTTTGAGATCTGACTCTAGATTGACACAGCCTAATTAAATATACTGTACGTTAATATTCGTCATTCTGCATTGGCCAATTTAGAAGTGGACTTACCTTTCGGACAGATGTCGGTGCAGGGCATGCACATTTTGATGCGGTTCTCCTCCACTTCCATCTTGTTGCTGGGGCACGCTCTGACGCAGGAGCTGTGGTCCACCACAAAATTATCTGGCGGAGACACAGACAGAGTGTTGGTGTTCTTCTCAGTGAAGATGCTGTGTGTAAAAATCAACGTGTGGCGAAGCACAATTTCCTAGAAGGAGCCCTCTAATGGCGAGCAATTGATTGTATTTTAATCACGTTTGTATAATGATCAAAACTAATGGTCTAGGGCTATATTGCCCAGGAAAAGTAATGAATCAATTTAGAACTTGGGAGCGGCGGTGGGAAAAAGTGCGACTGGTGTGTGCTCATTTGATGATCACTGGGACTTGAATATGCAATCTGTTGACTTTTAATGCATGCTCTCTGAAATACCGCTGCACTCTGACTCCATAACAGTGAAATAAAGAACTACAATTTATTGTTTCAGCTGCCAGAGGCATAAAACAGATGGCAACTGGTTGATTGAGACGCACGATTTATTTGTGTTTGACTCATTTATCTTTTCTTGAAATAATTGTTTCAGGATAAATGCTTCTTCACCGGTTCGCAGACTATAAATTATGAGCACCATTATGAGCGTCCTTGCAGTCAAATTGAACTTAAAGCAGACTTACGTGGGCATTTCTTGACACAGAAGGCTCCATAGGTGTACTTGGCTCTGGGGTTGTGCTCCAACTGGAAGGACGTGGGGTTGTAGACGAACGGCTGGGGGCATTGGGTCACACATGCTCCGCTGTCGTTGAAATTGGTGCAAGCCTGCGGAAAGCGCACAAAGACAGTTAGCTAAAAGGCACTAGCATGACTTCCCATGGGGGGTAGGAAACAGAGGGGTTATGGGAGGGGAAGATTTTCTCAATAAGTCACCGTGAGGGAAAGAGTATTACGGCAGCATTTCATTTATACGTCAAATCGTGATCGTCCAGCATTCCCTTGCCTCTCTGAACGCCAAATGGGAGAAATATTGGAGCCATTGATCGTGCGCCATGATGTAAACGGTGAAATGTTTTCCCATAAACCCCGTTAAGTGTTTAGTTGTCTGTGTCCACAGGCTGTAATTGAATTGGATGAGGCTTTTCTGTGAATTACAACGACAATATCGTCCCGTGCGTCCGAGCGGTCGAGTTTGGTGAAATGGGAGAGAAGTGGAGGTGATAAAAGGGATACTAATTGGAAACACTGAATCACCAATTTGTTCTTTCGAAGAGGAGACTTTTACAGCCCCGCCGTAAAATGACAAACAATTTATCAACCTGGTAAACAAAGTGGATCATTTGCCGTCGGGCGAAGATGCCAAACAGATGTTGCAAGTTGAAGAGGGATGATATTAGAAACTTGTCTCAGAGAGGAAAAGTGAAGATATAGAAGGGAAGAGAGTTGGGAAAGTTAAGAAGGGAACAAAAGTGTGTGTGTGTGTGTGTGTGTGTGTGTGTGTGTGTGTGTGTGTGTGTGTGTGTGTGTGTGTGTGTGTGTGTGTGTGTGTTTGTGTGACATACGAAGCAATCCGTGTCCTTGGGGCCGGCACAGCCGCCGGCGCACTCTCGGTGGCAGCAGTCGCTGACGTAAGGCCCGAAGCATCGACCGTCACACTGCTCTGCACACACCGTCTTTGTCACTGCACAGGAAGTGGATTTTTTTTTTTTTAAAAGGTCTGACACATACATTCACACTTGAAAAAAAAAGAGACAATAACACCTCTGTGAGCAAACGTCGTCTGATGTAGAATTCCAGAGTGAGGGCCTTGAGCAAACTAAAGGTCAGACAAGTGGGTTCATGATGACGAGGTCACAGGCCCAGGCGCAGTTTAAAAAACACGGAGCACTTTCCTTTCTTTCAACAGCTGCTCTGGAGGTGCCCTTGAGCTTCATTTATCATTTAGCTTCACATTCAAATAGTGCTCGAGAGCCCCCAGGTATGAAGTGAAATCAATTGGTTTCCCCCTTGATACATAGAAATTGAAAAAACTTCACCATATCTGTGTTTATTCTCTGCCGAACGGGCAATAATAAAACGTCCAACTGTTCCCAGAAAGCTATCGTTTGTTGCTATGCCAAATCTTGTGGAATACCAGAGAAATAAAACTCCTATTCCTGTTTTTTTTTATTGCAAAACTACTCTTAAGAAAGCTGTATTTTTAGCACAGAACAAACACTTGGAGCCTACCTATCGTATGAAACTCCAATACTTGTGCTAAAGAACATCCGCCCACACATTATTGGTACAGTAGGAGAAATATCGGCCAGCGAGTCAGCAGGAGCTTGAAGATGAGGCATTAAAAACTGCTGCGCTCACTCTCTGCTGTGTCGGGAACATAATGATGCAGCAGTGAGAGAATATAACAAGGCCCGTCTAGTCTATTAGCCTGTGTTAGTGTGAGAAAAACTACCTATCTGGGTTTTAACGGTACGGCTAGAACTGCAATTATACAGAGAACTAATATTTGTAATGCTTTTGTCCCACTTTAATGTGGGGACGCAATTAATGAGGTTTATGTTTGGTGCAACTTTGGTTAGAATAAGAAGAAAAGAAGATAAAAACAACCCCTCCCCACTCTGTGTCAAAGTAGATTATAGCGGATTATAGATTATTTTAAACAGATTGTACAATATCCCCCACAATTCAGTAAATACCGTAGCTCACTGACTTACACTAATAACTGATTTAAATGTTTTCGTTAGCCTGGAGTTCTAGTTGCAGTCGGGGTATAAGTGAAGGAAAATAAAACATTTTCTAAGAGGGACTTTGAAATGGAAATCAATGTTGAATTGACTAAAATGTTGCGATCAAGATTGTTTTTCCAGCGGCAGAATATTTAAAAAGAAATGATGGAGTTATTACTGTTGGAGTATTTAAGGAACCATGAATATATAACGTTTTTAGGTACCTAATAACGTATTAATTTGAAAGATAGGTATCAGTGTCTGTGTGTCTATTGGCAGAGCTGAGTAGCAGGCTTGTCGTTTCCAGGGTAACTGTAGGTGTGTTTGCATACTCACATGTTTGACACTGGTCCTCCTGATGGCCCCAGCAGCGTCCGTTACATGAGCGATGACAGCGTCTGCCTGCAGAAACACACACAGAGCAAACTTAAGATGTGGTTTTTACACAAACACACATAAAGACAGCCCCCATGCAGTCACGCACACCCCGAAAACTTCCACTAGCGACAGATCTTACATCTCCTACGCTCATCTGACAATAGACCCAGGCGACCTGTTGAAAACACAAGACAAGCCTCCATTCCCTTAATCAAGCGCGCGCACAGCCAAAGTGGGACCTGACAGAGTCAAGCAGCCCTCATCTGCCAGTGGCCCATCATCAAGGCTTAATTGACTACGGGTTAATTACAGAGTAAGTGGAATGGTACTGCAGATTGTCACCCGGCCCCTTCAACCACTCCCACTGCGGGGTTGTTAATGTTAAATACTGACTACGGCTTGGCAAAGGGCCCCAATTTAGGAACCTTACCTCCCACTCCATCTCCTGTCATTTTATGTGCCCACCTCCTCTGTTCTTTGTTGCTTTTCATCCTCCTCCTCCTCCATCAGTGCCTTCTTATCAACAAAATGGCAATGTTTAGACATGATGTACTTTATTTAAGATTTACCGCCTTTGCATTACATCAACTGCCTGCTAAAGTCGATCGGTAAACATTATTTAAGAGTTGGAAAATAAGCATTGGAATTATGTCAAAAGCTCTGTTTTTGCAAAACTTAAAAGGTTATTCCCTTGCATGTGATTTTGCCTCAGCTGTCTCTTTTGTTCACCCTGACATCTTTTGAAACACGAAGAAACTTCTTTTAGCCCACCACTCAAAAAAGAGCATTAGACATAAGTGTGTCGAAAAGTTTGAGAGGGTCCGTCTTTAACAGCCAGCTCTTCTGACACAGGATGTCCGCCGGATAAACTGTTGAGGGTCTGCGGGGACCCCGATGAGTGGGGCACCGGGGGAACAGGGCAGCTTCAAACCAGCTGTCAGATTCACTGAGATTTAAAAAGAGCCCAGCAGACAGCGGCTCCATGGGCCTCGCTGCAGAGCCCCTACCCCAGTACTACAATGGAAAAGGTTCACACGTTGATCTAACACTATGTGATTTCGCTTCCAAATGGCCGCGGGGCAAACGGAATGAATACAAAAAAGAGATAGAGCCCGACTGCTGCTGGTGGGGGGAGTGTGTGTTTGTACAGCCTGTTGGCATGTGGAATGCTTTCAAGGGAAAAAAACAATAACTTGATTTTCATCCAAAGTTACTGGTTGCACTGGTTTCCACCCACGTGCGGTACTCACAGCCAAGGTTGCTGTTGTTGGATGGCACCACCAGCAGCTCCGCCTGAGGGTTCTTGATAATGTCACGCCAATGGATGGTGTCCGCGTGGCACAGGAATTTGTTCTGGTCAACATAAACTCCCCCGTTCAGCACCTCTGCAAAATACAAAGAAGACAGAGAAAGAGAGAAATGAGCATATAGCCACGGAGTTATAGCACATGTACAAGATGGCAGAAAATCAATACTTCAAGGTTAACTCCCATCGTTCCTTTGTCTCAAAGTACCGCGCCGCATAGTGCTCCCTGAAGTGCATCTGAGCATGAAGATAAATGCTATTGACAAATGCACAGAGTAATTCAATGCCATGTCCAAAGACAATGATGTCTCATAAAGAAGTACTCGGCGGAAAACAAGTAAATGGATGTCACGATGTAACCAAAAGCAGCCCGGGAAAGAACTCCAAACCGTACGCTGGTGTAAATTCCTAATTATGCATTGAGTATACAATCATTTCATTTTTATGGTGAGAGTTAATGAATGTCGCTGGAAGACACTGGATACTTGTTGTGGTAATTAAAAACGGAAATAGTAAACTGGAGCATTCCTCAAAACCAAATAAGTTTGGTAAATGGAGACTGGTGTAAGGGAATCACGCTATAGGTAGGGAGTAGATGTATTGATATGTGGTTGTAGGGTAAATATTATTCCACTATAACCTATAAGAGGCTCAACACAGGCCGATATCATCAAACAAACTCGGATAACATTGACCTACTATGCATTCCTCCATGAAATTGAGAGCCTACCACACAAGAGACAAAGGCTGACTTCTCATCCGGCGTTCGCTTAATAGCAAAAATATGTTTCTTTTCAAGGACCAGTGCCCTTAACAGATGCCCTTAACAGATGCCTGTGCATGGAGTATGATAATCAACTCTAATCCCTCTCCCTGTGCTAATCCAGATTTTGGATATGGAAACTAAAATGAAATGATGCAGCAATAATCCCCCTTCCTCCCCAAGCAATGACCCGTGGCAGAATAGAAACAACAGCCCCCCCCCATCGGGGACACCAGCTGACTGTAACCTACTTGAGGGATTAAGATACAATCACCTTGCTTCCCCCTTCTCCTTGAATATGAGGCCGGATTCCAAGAAACTACTTGTCGTAATAAATGAAATTTCAAATGAAAAAAAAAGTAACAATGTGGTTCATATCAGGGCTGGATTAGCCGAAAGTAAAGAAGGGTATTATCTCCCGGGGCAGATTATTAACAGCGTGTGAGTTATGCGGACGATTCAGCAGCGGAGGAGCACACGCAGGAAGCTAATCATTACCATCCGACACCCTGATTAAGGAAGTGGGCCTTGGTGGAGACGGGGACATTTATTCAAAGCCCTCTTAGAGGTGACATGGCGCTCTGTCTGCCCGCTGAATGGCCTACAGCCGCGGCTTCATGTAATCATGTTCCCGTCACAATGGACGATTTATCAGGGGGTGTTTTACATCCATGGATGGCAGGGGGGAGAAAGAGACAGCCTATGATTAAGTCAAATAACATGTGGACCGCACTGTCAGCACGCTTTGATGTCATTTTGAAGTGCTAATGATTTGTCCGACATATATAAAGAAAGAATTATGTAGGAAAGATGCGTCCACATGTGGATTTACATTATTTACCGATTATAATGTAGTCACCATTGAATACTGCCATAAAAACCCACTTCATCCCTCAAGAGATCCTCCAACAGACATGTGCGCACGTTAGTCTGCCGAGGTCAACAGGGTCACAGAACTCTCACAAAGAAAGAGATTTCTATTCAATTCAATGTACTCTGGCCATGGTGAGGGATGCGGTGAAATTGTTGGAACAAATGTACGTCCTATTTTTCTAACCACTTTGCTTTTCCTTTAATGGACAATGGGTGAAAGAAAGATGGAAAGGAAAGTTTATTTACGAAAGGATTACGGCGGTGCACTTCTAGGTTACAAATGTTTTTTTGTTAAAGCAACTTCCTTTGTCACACCGAGTACATTGGTGTACACTTCAAGTAAAGATTCCTATTCAAAAGAGAATGACCTTATAAGGAATTTTTCAATTAATCCAAAGTGTCTAATTCAATGTAATGGATGGCCCAATGGTTGGTAGTTTATCATTTTTGGATTAGATTAGAATATAATGTTGCTGATGCAAGGAATCGTGGGACGCCATCTTTTTTTCTTTTCATGAATAATGGTACATCTTCTACCAGCTCTTACCATGGCTGCCACTTTTCAAACATTTTCCTTTACTTTTTCTGAAGTAATAATTTCTAAATTTGAAGGTATGACAGTTTAAATCCATTCTGCCATTTTATGGGGAGTCATCTTTCTGTCCAACCCACCCATCGCTGTCCCAAATGTTCTTTTAAGTGCTTGTGTCCAGATGCCGTCTGCTCGCTGAGAGACAAATTGCCACCCCTGCCGTCCATCCGGGCAAGGGCACTAACTCTTCTGGCGGCATGACAAGCCGACATCGTGTGGTCGTTCATTAATGTGCGACAGTCCCGGGCCACCGCCCCACACCTCCTACCCGCTTCTCTCCAGTACCCCCACCTCCGCGCTTCGATCTTTCCATCAGGTCGGGAGATCTACAGTCCGACACTACAACCCCGCCTCGGCCCAATTCCCTCACCCTCGACACGGCTGTGAATTACGAGGTAGTCATAAAAGCTATCGTCCTGCATCAAAAAGGGGGGAGGTGGGATATAAAGGGGGGGAGGTGGGATATAAAGGGCAGTGAGAGAGGGCATTATGAGACCAACATGAGGTGGAGAGAGACGGGGTTATTGCTAAGGCTTTTAATTAAGATTAGGACAAATAATTAAAGCAATCATTGTATATAGAAGGATAAATCTTTTGTGGTACAGTACCGAATGCCGAAGCAAATCAATGACTTGTCCATAAAAGACTTTTGAGTCGCAGCTCTAAACACAGGCTTTTGTTCAACTCCTTCTTGTTTAATGTGGTACATTTGCTGTATTTGGTAGTTATGGTTGGTCAAAACAAATGTCTTGAAAAACGATAGATGTTACAGGTGCCTTAAGTGACCTTCTTGGACTTCAGGAGGGTATGCTTTTGGTGCAGACTTCTCCAGGATTCGGGGAACGAGTGGGAACCCTTGAAACATACTAGGCTTTGTTTGTGGTTCTAAAAGCATGTTTGTTGGTTTCTTTGCCTCAGCCTCGTGTTCTAGCTCTAATAGTGCTTGAGATCATTTGTGCTTTCAGTGACTGTACATTGCCACAAGGAGCTTTGCAGTAACTGTTTTTGTTCATGTAATCCCTGTTGACAAAAGGGGAAAAGAGCTGAAGAGCCACTTATTGTCCCCTTGCTCATTTGAATTCCTGCACTTTAAATAGAGAGTATAGTTTAATGAGCCTTAAAGCCTTTACATTGGACTGATATGACACAAAAGAAAGCTCCTATCCTCTCTTTTGATGGTAATTTCCGCCGGGTCTTCTGCTGGGCGACACAGTTCCCGGCGATGCCGTTTAATGCTTGCATGTGGCTTCTGAGGGCGCCCCCACCATATGCTCAGGTCATGTTTGGATCAAGACTTTCTGGTGCAGCGTTTTGCTACATCTCTCTTGGCAGTGACTCAAAGTGTCTTGCTGTGTCGGAGGGAAAAACTCTCACTGGGAGAAAGTTGACGTGTCATGTTGAATCAGAGATTAGGTTTGATGTGGAACTGTGCAGTGAGGTGATCACCGGAGGAGAATATGATTGGGAGATCATAAAAAGCTGAATAAATCAACGAATGAATGACTGATCTTTCTTCCACGTCATCTAGTCCTATCATTGCCACCACTGTGTCCCATGGTGCATTTTACTTTGCATTGTGAGACTTTAAAAAGGGATATTAAATGATGCTTTAATGCTAAAACTAATTTACAGTAAGAAAATGTAGTTATTCAGTTATGTTATAACCTCAGGTGCCCATGACTGACAGCAAGTCATATCATGTCAATATAGCAATGTATTTAACACATCAATAAACATGTTTTAACTTTTCTATTGTCTTAATTGTTCATTCAAAATCTTCTTCAATACAGCTTGATGTTCATTTTTAAAATGATGGGCCTATTTTGATTAAATCGACAATAAAGAAGGGGTGGATTTAGGGCATGGGCACCTTTTGATTGACAGATCGATCGTTACCACAATGTTGTTAGGTTTGGCCTGTGTTTTTTGTCTTACAACTCAATTCATGTGACATTTTGGTCGCCTAAAATGTTTTGTCGGGTAGTTATTCTTCTGGTTTGCTATTATTCCTTTCTGTAACACAAATGAGTTACTCAAAAACAACTTAAAAAAGCTTTTATGCTGATAAATGAACCAATTAGGACAAAACCCTAGTCTGAAATGTATTATTAAAGCTCCATAATGTTGGGGAAAAGCATTAGGAAGTAACCTTTTCACATCCTTTGCATATATTATATTATTCACTTGAGTACTATACTTTCATCCATAGAAGCAAACAGTAAGGTGAGTTAAGGACTTATTTGTTATTATTGACGTAGGAAGCACCAATACTCCTGTGACTCTTGAATAATTACGTGGAGACTTTGACTGTCTTTTAAAAACCCAAGGTCGAGATACGGCAATATGGTATAAGATTTCTTGGGCATTTTTGTTTGTATTGTGCGAAACACGCATTTAGCATTGGGAACAGGCCAATCAGTGCACAGATTGTAAAGGAAGTAAAAATGATCCCTGTGCCAAGTAGCCTTTGCGAGCCAATTAAGTTAATTTTACTGTCTTTCAGCAGAGCGAACAGCCTCTAGTTTGAAGTAGTTTCCAGGCAATGATGGCCCCAGCAACAATCAGTGTCCATAGCACTATAGGGAGCCCGCTGATGAGCTTCCATCAGTGCTGCTAGCCACTTGTCCCACATCTCTTTCTCTCCCTAATTATGCTGATGAATAAGGCCGTAATAGTGATCCGTCCTCTGCTGATGAGTCCATACTCTTGCCGTTATTGTCTTGTCTTGGGGGCGGGCGTGTCACGTATCACACAACTCAAGTGGAGTGCGTTTGGGCCATCAGCGCTGCTCTTTTTTTATTCGGATCATCTCTCTATCCTTGTCGTCCTCCACCTCTCAGACCCACCCATC